GGAGACGCTGAGCCTCTTCATTCCGTTTCTTTGTTTTAAACGTATCTAACTTGGCAATGCCGCGGACAAAATGGAGTAGCGATTGTCCCCCATAGATAGAACGTGGCACGATTGCGCGCACCCTGTTTTATAGTCCTTATCGTGGCGGTAGGAGAAGGAAGAATTATTTTGTGGGTGTTGCTCGAGTCTCGAGGCAAATATTAGCTTGGTTAATAATTAACGTGTTACCTCCGCTTTCCGTCCACGATCTTGAGAGGTTAAAGCAATGCCGGAAAGGGAGGAGTAACGTCGCCATGTAATTCGGATTACATCGCCGATACAAAGTGTTACGTCACTTTTGATTATATCCGCCGTATATCTTCTATTCTTATCTCCCATCTTTTTTTCTTTTCTCGCAATTATTTTGTCCGAACAGGTGTGTAAATAACGATTTAAGGATTTAAAAATGCACGGTATTATTTTGGATCGTATTTCTATGTTGTCACGAATACGAACAAATATCTCGAATTAAAATTTCCACGCAAGGAAGGAAACGTTAATTGCTTTCGTATTTTCATCAACGTTTATTTATTTATTTATAATATAATGCAATATATACTAGTGATAAATATGAAAAATTATACGAATATAATATCTAAACTAATATCCAAGTTTATGAATGTTTAAGATATTAGAAATATTCGATGTGATTCGCTAATATTTCCGGAATGATCGATTTCTTTTCCTTGGTCGTGCCATTATTCACGGGAAGAAAAACTTTTCTGGATTCTGTTTGTAGTGGCATTGCACGTATTGATACGTTTTCTGGCAATCATCGCCGGTATATTCTGCGTACAATTGCGTGTAAAACATTTAGAGAGAAGTTTCTTAAAGTGTCTTGTCTACAAATTTGAATATCTATTTATTTATATTTATTTATCCCTACCTTCGTTACGGCATACCGCTACGATTTCTTTTCCTATCACTACCTCTTCCGGTGGCATCGTGATTTCCAATTGCTTTACGATCATATCAAAGTCGATGTTTCCATTTTTAAACTGAGGATATATAAATTAATCCATCTTATTGATCTTCGAATTTAAAAATTATTTCGATTTTTCACTTACGGTTCGTAATAACTTCATGATGCACGTCGTGTAACATTGAAGATCGTGATCATCGGGAAATTCACCCCTTCTCATCCCGTCGATTAACTCTGTGCCCGAATACCGAAACAAATAGAAGCGAATAGGTTCGTTTAGATCATTTTACGATCAAAGATATTATTTTTACTCACCTTCCGTTGTGGTGATTTTTTGCAAGCACGATTTTCGCATGTTCTTAGCTATTTTTTCTACCTGATCGGCACTCATCTGCAGTTAATCGAAAAACTGAATTTTTCCTTGCTCCTTTTTTTTTTATCTTACACGAACGAAAGAAAGATATAGGGAATTTTAGAGATAAAGAATCACCGATAATGATAAATATCTTTGCATGCATCGAAGCAAAATCGAACGCGATTTCTCGAAAGACGTAGAAAACAAATGGACTTACACTTTTCACCGGTTTTAATGCCACAAACGTCATAATCGTTATTAATAAAAATATCGATTTTACGTACATACTTGAATTCTTAATAATCAATAAACTCTTGATAAACCGCACAAATAAAGATGAAACGTTAGTCTTTGAACCAAGGCTAAGCAACTGAGGGCTCCGTCCACCTGTATTTTCCTTATAAATCTCTCTTAATTTCGCGTTTCACAAGTCGTGAGTAATATTATTTTCCTTAAAACGCAAGATAATTCGATAATTTGATATTCGCCGAGATCGAGGGAGATGATTTTCAAACTTGATGACAAGTTTCCCGATTTTATGTAACTCGAATTAAGAACCGTATCCAATTACAGCTCATCCAATAAATAATCATCTTGTTGCTAGTTTGAAAAACGAGAATTGAATTCAACGTGGTAATTTTTAATCCAATTCCATAATAAATATCCGAGAAAAAAGGACCGGTCAAATTGCCAAAACTTTCTCAAAAAGATTTTTTTTCGACCCTCTGCGATAAAATTCTCAAGAAAAATCCATTCGTTTCTCTGTACGAGACGTGTATTTCCAAGAATCGAAATTGAAAAAGTATCGACTAACCTTCCACCGCAAACCGACGAATTATTCCATTATAGTTTGCCATTGCCACCGTCCCCTTCGGTGGTTGCACGGTCCAACTTGCACGAAACAAATTCGCTCTGGTCTCCACCGATACGAGACTCGTGTTAATGTCGAACCCTTGTATCTCGAGATTCCGTTCCCATATTCGGCGAGCCGTATTTCAACGATCGATGCAACTTTTATTCCACTATTAATTCCATCCCTATCTCTATCGATGAAGATTAATCGATTTAATAAAAATAATTAGACCACTGGTATTGCGAATAAATCATGCCAGTCTCGAAGCTAGCCTAATTTTTTCTCGTTCGACATTTCTTCTCAACGAGGAAGAAAAGAAAGAAAGAACGTCCATGGAGCTCAAGGATTAGCTCAAGGATCAACTTGTACAGAACGGAGTAAGTTTGCTTAGCCTGAAATCATGAAGTTGAAAGGGGTGAGAAGAAGAAGAAGAAAAAAGAAAAAAGCGATCTATACGACCCTGACACGTTTGAAATTTTTACTTGAAAAACCATCTATCGCTGGAATAGAAAGTAGAAGGAGGAGGAAAACCGTGTCAGTGTTTATTTTCATCCATCTTGAAGGCAAGAGAATAAGCCGGTTCCCTTTTTTCCCTCCCTTCCGTGCCTCGACCGTGGCCGAGTTATGCGCTCGTTCTTCTCACTCGCGGCTTTTCTCCCTCCTCCCCCTCCGTTCTTGCCCCCATGAAAAATGCAGCAACGATTTTTTTTCGTGCCTCGCCCCACGTCGTCCCTGACCAAGATCGCGATTCAAGTTTGTTGGGTTCGCTTTTTCTCTCTCCTTTTTTTTTTTTTTCCCTTTCTTTTTGCATTCTAAGCCGCGTGATCCTCATTTAAGATAAACCCCCGTCACATCCGCCCCTCTGAACGACAATAGGACCGGAAGGGTGTCGGTGTTATTTATGCAGTCGCGAGTTTTCCCGATCCTTTGTCATTCTTACATCGTGTTCCTCGCTCTATTTATCCAAATTTTATCTGAATATTATAATTTTTTTGTTATCTGAATATTAATATAATCTAAATAATTTATCTGATGCTTCTTTTTCTTTCTCAGATGATGATGGATCTGGAATAGATATGATAGGTTCATCGAGGGGAGGGGGTCGATTCGATTTTTCTCGTTGTTCCGAATATGCATCGTGGAAATTGATTGGAACGAACGAACGAAATCGTAGGAATTGGATTTGATAGAAAGTTCATCGAACGGAGCGTGGATCGTTTGTACGGGTTCCATCGGATTTTCAGAGGGAAATATCGACGAAGGGTTTCCTTCGCTTTGGGGAATCTATCGATTTCCATCGGGTTTGCGAGAGGAAAGCTTCGACAGCCGGGATATCTAAACCGGCGTCCTATGGGGTTCCATGCTTCGTTGCTCGCATGACTCACGCCGAATATACGTAGGATCCGTGTAAGAGTAGAAATGTTCGCGAATTCGAGCATCGTCATCTCTTCAAACCTGCGTCGAGAGAAAATTTTGATAATTTTATTTCACAATTGTGATTCTTTTGATCTATATTATTCATTTAATCCAAATCATCTCTTCAAACCAGAGAAAATTTTGACAATTTTATTTCACAATTGTGATTCTTTCGATCTATATTATCCAATTAATCCAAATGTTTTCGTATCTCTTCAAATCTGCATCGAGAGAAAATGGAAAAATTTGATAACTTTATTTCACAATTGTGATTCTTTCGATCTATATTATCCATTTAATCCAAATCATCTCTTCAAACCTGTGTCCAGAGAAAATTTTGACAACTTTATTTCACAATTGTGATTCTTTCGATCTATATTATCCAATTAATCCAAATGTTTTCGCATCTCTTTAAATCTGTTTTGTCGAGAAAAAATTTGACAATTTTATTTCACAATTATAACTTCTTCGATTTATATTATCCATTTAATCGAAATATTCGCAAATAGAATATTCATCTTTTCAAACTTGTGTCGAGAGAAAATTTTTACAATTTTATTTCACAATTATAATTCCTTCGATTAATATTATCCAATTAATCCAAATATTCGCGAATAAAGCGTCCATCTCTTCAAACCTGCATCGAGAGAAAATGGAAAAATTTGATAACTTTATTTCACAATTGTAATTCCTTAATATTATCGAATTAATCCAAATATTCGCGAATCGAGCGCGCATCTTTTCAAATCAACATCGAAAGATAATTTTGACAACTTTATTTCACAATTGTAACTCCTTCGATTAATATTATCCAATTAACCCAAATATTCGCGAATAGAGCGCGCACTGCCATTTCTTCTTCAAACTTGCATCGAGAGAAAATTTTGATAACTTTATTTCACAATTGTAACTCCTTCGATCTATATTATCCAATTAATCCAAATCATCTCTTCAAACCTGCGTCCAGAGAAAATTTTGACAACTTTATTTCACAATTATAATTCCTCCGATTAATATTATCCAATTAATCCAAACCATCTCTTCAAACCTGCATCGAGAGAAAATTTTGACAATTTTATTTCACAATTATAATTCCTTCGATTAATATTATCCAATTAATGAAAATATATTAACAAGTCATCGGCAAATGGTATTACACATTGGAAGTGTTTGGCTGTTTCGAGTGACACGCGGGGAGAATGATGAAATCGGACATGGATGGGAGGAGAGTGGCCGCGAGATCTCCGAAAGACAACAACGTATTCTGTCAATCTAGGCGGACGGATGGATATGAAAATTTCAGGAATAGTCTGAGATTTCTGACACCGAGGGTTGATGTAGCCCGTGTCACAGGGGAACTCGATACTCGTATCGACAGATAGGCGCGGTGGCGAGCACAGGGGTGAATCGCAATTACATTCTCGGGATGACCCTTTAAGGTCGCTTGTTCGGCTTTGATGATATTTAAATTGCACTCGAAACGTATTGCGTGCATCGTGCTTTATCTCCCTTCAAATTCCACGTTGAATAATCGATCCCGATATCTTGTAAGAAAATGGCGCCTATATACTTTTCTTTACCCTTAATGTTGCGACTGATTAACAATTCGAGGTCAAGTTGGCTCAAACTTCTTCTTCCAATGACACTTTCTCTCCGAGTGCTTTGGATCCGGAGCTTCAATCCGCTCCAAGTGGGCTTAAGTCACGTCGACTCTCGCTATTCCTCCTACTTTACCTACTACTACTACCACCAGCGACTCTTAATCCGGGGTTAGAGGGATCTTAGAGGGATCTTCGTTCGATTATATAACTTCGTACTCTTAAACTTCCTCGTTCGTTCGAAATAAAATAACAAGATTTGTAATCTGTCGTGAATATAAGCGACGTATATCGTGAAGAAATATTGAACGAGAGAGGGGTGGAAACGGGTACTGTTTCGATTATCGAGCGAGGAGGAGAAGTATTTATTCGCAAGGGAGAGAAAATGAAAGAAATTTGTCGGTTCATTATGCCTACATCGCAACGCACGCGATGAAAAAGAATAAAAGGGTAACTCGTGACTGCCACTTGGCCAGCTAGTCACCCCTTTCGCCACTCGGAACTTCCATTCACCGCACGACAAGGCTTTAATTGCTCTCGGTTATTGTGCAATCGCGTATCAACGTCGACAGAGTGGATCAAGTCGAGTTACGTAAATAATGAATCGAGGTAAGCCCGCTTCTATTCAACAATCGACCGACCGACCGATCGATCGACTTGTGAAATGTGAAAAAAATAAAAAAAGCGATAAATAATTCCATTTGTCGAATCGAAGAATCAATGTATTATATATATATACGAGAAGAGAATCGATCGATTCAAGTTTTCAAGTTTGTTTCGTTTGGTAATAAAATCTCGAGACGAGTACGATCGTGAAGGATCTCAAAAGAAACGAAAATTTTTCCTCGCAAAAGTAAAAGTTGAGTTGGTTCGTTAGAAAAATTCCATTCTCTGGGGATCGTTGACCAAAGTAACCAACGACGTGCATCTTTTTCATCGAAAATTATGTTTGTCGTAAAATATATCGATTACTGAATCGAACAGGGGATTGTTTATCCGTAACAAAGAGTTTCGAAAAAATTTACTTATTATATATTTCATTAAAATGTGAGAGACAAACAAACAACATTCCTCTCTAAAAAAACAGAATAATTTTTTTTTGGATCGAAAAAATCGAGCGATAGGAACGAATTATCGATATAACAATTTTTGCTCGACGTTCCTTTCTTCATCAAGCAAAATTAAATTAAGTTAGTTTGTCGTAAAATATATCGATTACTGAATCGAATAGGGGATCGTTTATCCGTGAAAAAGAGTTTCGAAGAAATTTACTTATGTATTTTATCGATACATAAATTTATATTTTATTTTAATAATTCACGATTAAAACATATAGTATAGTATACACTATCTTCTCTCTCTCTCTCTCTAAAAAAAAATAAAAAACAGAGATCGAATAATTGCTTTCGATCGAAAAAATCGATAGGAAGGAATCATCGATGTAACAATTTTTCCTTTATGGAGGGGGGCAAGAAATTCCGCGTTTTACATTCGTCATGCCTCCCCCTCTCTCCTTCTCCCTCCGTGCAACTTTGGCTCGC